CTGATCTGCGAACCTCGCGCATTATCGATCGCGGACTTAACAGACGACCGAGAAACGATATACGCTCAAAAGTTTAGGCTTGTAAATAAGCTAGTGGTTCTCATTGGTCTCGATAAACAATAAATACGCAGAACTAACCTGACAAAAAGCAGCAGAAAAACCTAGACCTGTACCGATTTACTATCAACTCATCATACCTTCTAAAAACCAGAAATGGCGAGCCTTAAGACCATTTTCAAGCTTTCAAACAAGGGCACTTGTTTCGAAAACATCACCATAAACCCAAGAGATGGCACGCTCCTTGTGACCCGTACCGACTGTCCGGAGGTCTGGCGCGTTGACCCTGTGACCGGGGAGGGGTCGTGCCTTGTAACGATCCCTGATGTAGCCTCCGTCACTGGCATCTGTCGTCTTACTGATCGTGCCTTTGCTCTTGGTGCGGGCAATTTCGACCCTACCACGGGGCCCGAGGCCGGATCGTGGAGTATCTGGATCCTCGAGCTCTTTCCCAACAACGAGCAGCCCGGCTTACGAAAGGTTGCCGCCATCCCACCGATTGGTTTCATCAACGGCATCGCCACGTGGGACGCCAACACAGTCCTAGCTACCGACTGTGCCAACGGGAAAGTCTATAGCGTTGACATCTCCAAGAGAGATACTTTCGAGGTCGCCCTTGAAGACGAGACCATGACAGTTCCCGCCGGGGCACCCCTGCCCATCGGCATCAACGGCATCAAGGTTCACCGGACGCCGTCTCAGACCTTTGTGTATTACACCACTACGATGCGGATGTCTCTGTACCGCGTGCCCGTCTCAGCTGAGCTGAAAGCAATTGGACCAGTCGAGACTCTGCATTCCGGATCGATCGTGGACGACTTTATCGTCTTGGAAAGCAGTGGCACGATTTATCTATGCACTCACAACGAAAATGTGGTCATTACCATCTCGCCGGACCACCAGGAATCGAAAACAGTGGCGGGGCATAAGAAGAAGCTGGATCTTGCGGGCTGCACGGCTTGTGTGCTGGGGCAGGACGGAAAAAGGCTCTATGTGTGTACAAACGGGGGCAACTCGGAGCCTGTCGATGGGATAACAGAGCCGGCGAGCATTGTAGAACTTAACCTAGCTTAGAAGGAAGATCGTCATCGGACAGCAATGCGCTGTAGAGAGTGATTCGGAGGTTTCGTATGGTCCGGAGGATGATAGTATCTGTGATTATATCAGAATTTTACCATTTCATAAGAACCTGTGTCTATTTTCAGGATTCCCGATGTTCGGGCATGCTGTGATCATCGCCCGGTGATGCTTGATTTCTGGATCCCCGAAGCAGGGATAAAACCCGGCTTCGCGGTCGCTCGCTCGGCCTCGGGGTCGCGCGTTCGGGCTTGGAACTTCATATAGGCTAATTAGATGGAACTCTGAGCCGTCAAGGACTTTTCCAAATTTCTACATCTCTATAGCTTCATAACTAACCGTTCGGCTGATGGCTTATGTTTCCCCTAACTCCTTGGAAACGTGCTTTAAGCTACCGAGTTTGATTTTATCATAAAAGACATGCTTGATATGCGCTGAGCTGGCTTTGCATTTACGGGGACATGGTCCCAAGATGACTTCAGACTATCTATATTTTTAGCTGATCGAGTAACATGGCCGGTAAGCCGTATAATAACCCTTCCTACTGGACCATTTCCTACGATAGTCTCCTACTTCTCTGCGGTAAAGATCCAACAATTCCCTTGCAAGGCCCCTCTCTCTTTTTGTTCTTTGAGAATCGATTTCTCAGCCTCCGCTCTCCACCGGGGCTTCTGTTCCTCAGTCCAAGCCATTGTTCCAACGTTTTTCCAAAACGGCGAGTCAAACCGATCGATAAGGCTACTCTTGTCCAGGGCCCCAAAAGTATCATCGTGGCGGAAAGTTTTAACCATGTCTGGTTTGAAGCCGCCTGCCACAAGCGTTTTGTGGCTGGTCTCTTCCAGAGACCACTTGCCCGGATCGAAGCGTCTAATCTCTTCCTCTGGGCGTCCAACAGCTGCACTCGTTTCTTGCAACATGCGGGAGATGAAGTTGTCCCGCCATACCGTGAAAGCAGCTACACCACCTGGCTTGAGGACGCGGTAGATCTCAGCTGTCACTTTGTGCGCCACCGCATCCGCAACAGCGAAAAGGGCATAGCTCATGATGATCAGGTCGAACTCGTTATCTGAGCACATGTGCAGATCTGAAGCATCTCCGACATATCCTTTGGCAGTCTCCCATTTTCGTGCTTCCTTGTTTTCATTGAAAGCCTCGATGAAATTCGGACCAATGTCAACCCCGACCACTCTAGGGGGCTTGATATTCCGAGCTGCGCATTGCTCGTAGATGATTCTGGTTACTGTGCCCGAGCCGCAAGCCAAGTCCAATATGGACATGTCGCTGTGGATTTTAGGGACATGGTTGTCAAGAATATCCAGGACAGACCGCCGGGTCTCGACAATAGTAGCTTCTTCGTAGAGATGGGCAAAAGAGTTGAGGGTCATGTTGTCCAGTAGGATCTGCGTCTTAGCGAGGCTGTTGTTTGCAGTTAGATAGGAGAAATCACCGTTCAGAAGCTATGCATTGATACTATTGAATCACCTAGTACAGTTCAGTTTTTAGGAGCAGACATTCAGATAGTCTCCGAATAGTCTCCGAGTAAGTTTCCGAAGAAGTCTCCGAAGAAGTCTCTGAGTAAGCGGCTCAAAGATCTCGCAAAAACAAGCCGTTTGTGGTCATTGCGAACTTTATTAATGGGGTAAGTCATCGAGGCAGTTTAGAATTACACTAGCTTATTTTCAGCTTATGTATCTACCCTAAACTCTCACTGTGTTCTCTTTCGTTGTGTCTTTAAAGGCTAAGAAGCGTCTCTATTAAGTAAATAGTCATTCTACGAGCGGTTCATCCTGATAGTAAGTGAGTCATCGGTACGAAGGGTCCCAAACTTTTCCTTCTGGTTGGCTGTAGTCTTTGGATAGCACACCTTTCTTGTTTTAACCTTTCGTATTCATTGTGGTGGGATGTTAGATAGCATCTTTAATTGTTTTTTTTTCAACTCCTTACTGAAATTCGCTCCCACATCTTGGGTATTTGGAATAATTATTATTTATAAGTACAATTTGTTCTTTATAGGAAACAACAGTATTGATCCTTCCTTTGGCGAGAGTCGCGGTGAGAGTTGTTTAGGCCCCTTAAAGATTGTCCCAAAGCGGAAGGATCAAGTCTTGGCAATGAGTCCCCAGAATTGCCTCGATTGGAGGAGGTTGCCAAGGTTGCTTACGTTCGTGGAGCCCAAATTGACGCTTTGATCCACGCACCCGAATACCTGAACTGAGCAAGTTCAAGACAACTAACTGCACAGACTGACTAGATAGATGGCTTGCTGACAAATTGAATGTTAAGCCAATCCAGCAACTGGTACGCACTTTTGCCATCTTCTATTCCAACGCGATCCATACCCGTATGTTTATCTTACTTACAGAGGAACGTGTAGCTATGGGGAAGGTTCAGTTCATCGTTGTGTCTGATCTCTCCGACTTGACTTCGGTCCGTACAAAGAAGGTGGCACGGAAACACTCGGCTCGGGAAGCGCACGCTCGAGAGAGACGAACACGGACTGTCAACTTCCAAACACGACACCGTCATTTCAAACAGCCCCTCCCCAATGCGATCCAAGCAGTGTTATCAACTGGAAGAGACGATTCCGAGTTATTGTTGCCGAGCCCGGTGGATCTCGTCTCCGCGCACCGGAATGACCCCTTTGATACTTTCGCCCTTCCAATGGGGCGCAAGGAGCAACTCCTCTTTGATCATTGTAAGACAGACAAATTCGCCAAGACTGCTTATCAGTTCTGGTTGTCCATCGGCACATGTGGTAATTGAGTTTCTAGATGTCATGACCGCCATCCCGTGCTTGAATGCCAACTGTAACAAATATTTGGGCCTCAAAGACTATGCCGACACCATGACCCGAGAATGGATACGGCTCGCTATAACGGATAGCGGCTTCATATATGGGGTCTTCCTGTCTTCGTGTCGCCATCTGTCCCAAAGCTTCAAAGACGACCCCATCGAGGGGGAGCAGCACTATATGCAGCTGGCCACAGAGTACAAGCTTGCATGCTTGCGCACGGTGATAAATGCCTTACCTACAGTCCAATCCACCCTTCAAGTAGACTATACAACCATAGCCAAGGCAATGCTCCTTGGCCTTGACGAGGTGAGCTTGCCCTTGTTTTGCCGTAGCCCTGGATAGTCCGAGTCACTAACTGCCAGACGCAAACCTAGATTTGGATGTCGAATTATGGTGCGATGCGTTGGCATCTATTTGGGGCAATAAAGCTTGTCAATCTAGCTGGGGGCCCAGAGGTTCTTGGGAGGGATGGCTTTCTTTTCTGCATCTTTGTACAGATTTGCAAGGCCACTGGGATGGCTGACCTAGCGACCATGTGGACGCCTCCGACCTTGGGGAACTTGATTGCATGATTACCAAGAATCCGTTCAATCACTTCGTCTTTAGAAAGCTTCTGGTGTTTCTTGAGGGTCGGATATCTCAGGTAGCCTACCATGCAACCCATAAGGCCTAGGCTTGAACCTAGTCAGTAAGTTGAGTCTCACGGGGGAGAAGGGAGAGTATCAGAGAAGATTGAGGTCTACACAATGTTGTGTCGTTGCTTATCTTATCTCTAATAAATCATTTAGACAGACTTTTCGGCTTCACGAGTATCGCTTAACATAGCAGCAAACATAGCAGCAGACAGCTACGGCAGAGTAATAGCTATATCGTGTCATAACGAGAGATAATTATAATACTGCCTTTAGCAGAAGTCGCCTGCCTACTTTTATAACGGACATTGGTTTAGAAGGGAAGTATCTGATAGTAATTACCTTAAGTAAGGTAAATATAAATATCTCGATATATCCTAGTTATACATTCGAAAACCATAACATGTTGTCGATGCCAGAGAAAACGAGCAAGTCCATATTCAGGATGCTGCATCATTTGGAAGGGTTTTCACCAAAGCAATGGCCTCTGATCTCCAATTGTCGGGTTGTACGTGAATGCCATCTACAGCACTAAAGACAATGTTCTCGGGTTCAGTTAGAGAGTACGTTGGCCACTTGGTACCCAAGTCTTGCACTGTATACGTATTAATTAGCGATGCTTAGAAAAGTTGATCTGGCCTGTTACATACCTCGATGGAAGTTGGGCGACTTTTTAACTGCAAAGCTAATCCACATGCGGCTCATAATCCTCGCAAGCCGTTTGTGCTTGTTGCGCAAGTTCGGATCAGCGGGAAAAGGGTCGCCATCCCAGCCAACCCCATCTTCGTTGCCAAAGACGTAAGGGATTTCCTGGAAGTGCGCTGCGCCAAGCTCGGTTGCATTAATGGTGGCAGGGACAGTATCAAAGAAGTAACTGTAGCTTGGAACTCCTTGTGCAGCCCAGGCTTCAGCCGCGAATCGGCGCCCAGCCATGAACTGCTTATCTGTGAGCCAAAGTGACGTCTTGCCGTATTGGGCCCCATACGCGGTGCCTGGGTTTGGTGAAACAGTACCCAGGCCCGCGATGGAAGGGTGATTGACTTCATTGTCATATAAACCAGACCAGGCTTGCACAAGATCTGAAGGGATAGCACCCCCAGCCCAGGTGTTATGGACAATATTTGCAAAATCCTCATCGGTGTTGATGGGAAACGGGGCAAGTAAGCGTGTAAAAGAAGTACACTCATTACGGTTGGCCCCGATTAGCAGAGGGACACGAATAAACAGACCTTGCTCGAGCTGAGTTTGACTTGAGTTTGCAATAAGTTGACCATCAATAACCAAGCTTACAGGCAATCCCACGCTTGCAGCATTGAGTTTTGTCGCAGGAACTTGTCGTAGGCAATCCAATGGATCATTCGTGCCTTGACAACCCGCAGCTTCGAGAACGGCGTTGAAATCGGCTTCGCGTTTGGTTGAGTTGCGATTCACCGCGCCCTCAAGGTAAGGACCACCACTCTGCGCAATAGCGCTGCTAAAGAGGCCGTCGTCCCGGCCACCATACGCGAGAAGATGGAAGCCGACGGAAAATGCGCCGGCAGACTCGCCCATGATAGTCACACGTTGCGGGTCGCCCCCAAACTGACGGATGTTCTCCCGAATCCAGGCCAGAGCTTGTCGCTGGTCATAAAGTGCGATGTTTTCCAAGCCCTCTTGTTCGATTGCAGAGCCCGCCAACATACCGAAGGCGCCTAGACGGTAGTTTAAGCTGACGAATATAAGTGGTGTACCCATATCAACAGAGTTGCGGACAATAAACGACCCATTGTACCGGGGCTCATTAGCACTACCCTCAGCGAATCCCCCGCCCGGAAGCCATACAAGCACAGGCAGGGTGGCGTCTTTTCCTGTCCCTGAGGGCCGTATAATGTTCAGTTGCAGACAGTCCTCACTATATTCGACTCTTGGTACAGTCTGAGAGTACCCGAGAAGCCCGAGGTTATTGCCATAACACCAGGGTCCGTACGAGGTGGCCAACCGCGTCTCGTTCCATGCAGCTGGAGGGGTAGCCCTGCGTAGCCTTAATTCTCCCACTGGAGGGGATGCATAAGGCACGCCGAGGAAATAGTCTTGCTCATAGGTAGGGCTATGGAGACCAAGAAGCGTCCCGTTTCGCAGCGTAACAGTCGGCTGACGGGCCTTGGGAACCGTATTGGGTAGGGAAAGGGCAACATGAACAAGGCCCATGAAAAGAAGCACGGCAAAAATCTTCAAGTACATCATGCACAAGTCGATCTTTGTAAAGACTTAACAACGCATACTCGGGAAGGGCATCTAGCTATGGTATGCCTCTGCTTATATTCTACGCGAAGTCAGAGTAAACCGCTCCATGAATCAGCTTCGACGCCGATTTATCAGCATTCATCAGCATCAAGTGCAGGCCCCTGTGTGTCCATCAACTGAGACAGACATGTTGCCAAGGACTGGGCGTTTCCGGCGGTACCAGCATCGGTAGCTGAGTGACCGATATGCGTCTGCAAGAACGATGCTGGGGTATTCAAGTATTACAATTAGTAATGATTTCTGTACGAGCGCGTGCTGCCTCGCGCTCGCGACTCCAGACCTCCCCGATCCCCGATACCGGCAAAAGATATCGGAATGGAAAGATGGTAAAATTCCGCGAGCCGGATGGCAGGGGGAGGGGCTGGCTGGGATCGCACCTATTCCCTGTCTAGGGAAAGTGTCTTTGCTGCATTCAAACACATGTTCTAACCGTAACTTTAAACTAAACAGCCAGTCTAACGTTTGTAGACTACACAGGAAGGGCAACCGACGCGCTCGGTTCATGAAAATCAGCTGTTCCACAATAACAGTGCCAAGTATCACAAATACTTCGGGGCTGTTCTGTTTTCCTCTCCGACTTCTTGTGTTGGGCTCGAATCGTATAGGGATCTTCGTCGTCCTCACATTCCTTATAGAATCATAGATTCAACATACCGCTCGTAGGCAACGTATAGCCTTCTCGCAGCTTTTCCCTGATGCCAATAAGGGAGGCAAGTCCAAGCAGGGGGTCTTTGGTGTCTACAAGGCCAGTGTGCCAAAGACCTACTTCATTCATGAGGCGTTACTAAAAGACATGCGTCTGATTGGTGATTATAGCTACTTTGGTGGAGAGAGTCTAGAGGAAACTAACAGCATTATTGAGGGAGCCCTAACAATGTGAAAGTGGGAGGAGCACAGAAAAGAACAGAATCATTCGCTGAATTTAAGTAACAGGGAGGAGTATTTGAAAATGTGAAACGAGTCGAGTAGTAGTATCAAATACGAAGTTTCTTTGAAAAATCACTCTTTTCTAAAATGCCTAGGATATTACCACGAAGAATCGGCAAAAGCCTAAGATAGAATAAATCCCTATCATGTGTTATGCAAAGAAATGTTAAACACAATCGTTTTTTTATATAGTACAACTTACACAGCTGCGGCAAAAGTTACCATAAATCTTGCTAGAAGCAGAGAGTAACAGGGGTTTTGGTCCTGTGCAGAACGTTTATATACAAGGTGCTTCCAAGTAATGCAATACCTTCAATCCCAGAACAAGAACTGCCAATCTGAGTAGAGTGAATGCCGGTTTTAGGGTCAATGAACAACGATATACAGACAATTGTCATCGACAACAGCCTTGAAGATCACTCTAGCATAGTGGGAGCGATTAGTGCAAGTTATGTTTAATCCTAAGGCTAAAATGGTAGCCAAATGTCTTTACAATGGGCGGGGTGACTCACATTGCGAAGTTGATTTGACATTTAACCGTGAAAGAACCCTGATTGATGCGTCAGTGGCCTTCATTGACACTCTCAGGCTCACCGGTGGTATCAAGAAGGCCGTAAAAGCTGTTCGTGTCAGAGCTGTTCTACTACGTCGTAGTTATCAAGGACCTGGGTCATGTCATAGCCCCTTGTAATCGGACACCTCGTGAGTATGGTGCGAACCAATCACTAAAATGAAAAGCGTTCTAGGATAAAGTGATGCGCCAACGAAGTAGATCGGTTTTATTTTGCAAAGCATCCCGACACTCTAGAGGCTGGTCAATGGAATTACTTGATGCCAGCTACAGCTTCAAGTCGAACACAGGGTTCCACCCCAAAAAAAGATTTGGGCGGCGGGATTTGTCAGTGTTTACTATTGAGGCCGTGTTTTACGCAAGTTAAATGCCATAATTTAAGCCGATCGGCAAAGATGACAAAGCTACGAGGATAATTGTTGCTGAATATACAATGAAGAAAACATGATCCGAGACGCATCGTCAACAGTGTGAGATGCCAAGACTTGAGACTTCCTGTTTAGGAGATGGTCAAAGGCCGGGGTGTTGAGATGATTTTAAATGCGCAACATATACATAGACATTAATAATGGTGATATGCTGAACAGAATGGAGGCTCCGACAAGATCCGGTGGAGAGAGATTCCATGCATTCAAAATGTGGTTAGAAAGAAAAGAGGAGTTCAAGACAGAAATGTATAAATATCACGCCAGTTCCTCCCCTCTAGTCCACCAACATCATCACTGCTACATTTTATATAGCCTACTGATCCAGGATCAAGTCCCCTTCATTATCATGCATTATAAGATATCGACTTTGATTCTCACCCTCGCCGGTAGAGCCTTTGCTGCTCGGCATCTTCCGTTCAACTTACCAAACGTAACTTCCCCTACACCCTTCATCCTCGAGGTTGACCAAGATGTCATCAACTTTGCCAAGGAACGAGCAAGCACTTTTCGTGTCACCCAAAGTGTTTACCCAGGTCTGAGTAACGAGGGTGGTTCTACCGAACGGATGTCCGAGCTGGCCAAGTACTGGGTAGAAGAGTACGATTGGGAAGCTCAGCTGGCCAACATCAACCAACTCCAGCACTTTGCAACTACTGTTCCCGGCAACCGTGCCTATGTCGCCCCTATTCCTCTTCATTTCACTCATCATCCATCCGCCAACAAGACTGCGACCCCATTACTCTTCATCCATGGATGGCCATCCAGTCATCTGGAGTGGGTGAAGCTCATTGAGCCATTGTCCGACGCCTTCCACATCATCGCTGCGGATATTCCTGGTTTTGGCTTCAGCCCAGCGCCCACCCAACCCGGTCTTGGCCCGCGCGAAGTAGGAATCGCGTTCGACTCTTTGATGAAGCAACTGGGCTATGAGACCTACGGCACCGTCATCACAGATATTGGGTGGCTTGTTGGCCAATGGATGGCTGTCGACGTAGCTGACAGTCTGATTGGTTACTTGACCGATTTTCAGCTAAGCACTGTCACAGACAGTGATTTGGAGCGGATGGCGAAAAACGAGACAACGGCTGAGGAGAACGACTTCATTGCGTCGACTCTGGCATTCGCCAACGACCATTTCGCCTACTCCAGCATCCAAGGCCAGAGCCCCCTGACGTTGGGTTGGGCCATGTCTGATAGCCCGGTGGGTGTTGCCGGCTGGTACTGGGATCTCAGGGATTTGTCCAGTGCTGGCCATGACTACTCGTATGACGAAGTCATCACAGACACGCTGGTTAATTGGGTCCAAGACCCGTATAACAATTTCCGAATCTACGTGGAGGCTTTGAAGGTGGGCGAAACAAAACTCCATTACTCAATCCTGCTCTTGTGCAGCTAGCTAAACTACGATTTAAACATAGCCCGAGACTCTTAACTTCCCCAAGAGCAGTGTCCCAGCCGGCATTACCCAATGGTCACTCGAGGGTGGACCATTCCCCGAACTTGCAAACTTCGCATTCGCTGTCAGTATATACCTCTCCATCATATTACCCATATAACATGGTTTCACTAACACTCAGCAGCCGCGAGACTGGGCAGAGCGCACAGCCAATGTCGTGTTCTTCCGGCGCCACGACTTTGGCGGACACTTCCCTGCTCTTCACGCCCCCGAGGCCTTCGCTGAGGATATTCGGGAATTCTACTCTAGCCTATAGATTTGAGAAAGACCTCGGTGCCTAGAGAAAAAGCAAAGGAATGGCACAAAGTGGCTCCTTGAGGTCATGGAGGAGGAGTTGGTACTACTATGAAGCGAACGAAAGGATTTGACAAGAGTCGGTCTCGATCGAAGTGTCCTTGCTTTAACAGATGTCAGAAGTCTCCTGTCGAAGATGAAGGTTGATATACTGAGTAGATAGCCAAAGATATCAAATGCATGAGAAAAGGCGTATTAAACACAGTCAGATATGGCTTGCAGAATTCTGCATTCTTATTAATAGATTTATTAAAGAATGAGACCGCGAAATCGTTGCCAGCTATTGAACTATTATTATCTCTTGTATGCAGCAGATCGGCTGCTATTTCAAATACTATCCTGAAAGAATAAAACACAGATTGTGTGGTCTAGTTTGGTTTGGAAACATAAATACTCATTCAAATGGTACTCAACTACCTTCGTAAGTACGAAACCACAATATTGCACTATTTTGCTTCACTAGTGGAGGCTACAGTGTGACAGAGTAACTCGGTCTTTACTCATAAGTCATGATGTAGATGGATTTTGAGCCATTTCGCGTGCTCAGGATGCTCTCTCAGGAATACGATGTTCTCTTCACTAGGGGGAATGCCGAGTCGGAGCGATGCTTGGATATCTTCGCGATGGAAGATTGGATCAAGTTTCCCATCAGATCCTCTAGGCGGCTGAGGTATCCGATGAAACTTTCTTCCTTCCCATGTGAATGGCCACTTGCAGGCCCTTACTGATATGAACGCTAAGTGGGAGACCGGCTAGCTAAAGCTTGGTGGATTCAAAGCCAACAAAATGAGATTATCCGACATACAAAGATTGGCCCGTCCATTTCATCCAAACAAACACCGGTGGGTCATCCTCTTGGATAGTGTGATCATGGCCATGATGATTAAGCAGAGAAAAACACTTCAGGTTGTTGAGGCCAAAGTTGTCATGAAATGGAAATAGGCGTTCCTGGGCGTGATCAAAATCCCGCTTAAAAATGTCGACAAAGCGTACTTCGTATAAATGTGATTCTATCACCATACACATCACCAAGCACAAGGTTCGCAATCGTCTGCAGCAGGACACGCATCGTGGGGGTAGAATTCTCCACGGGCTGCTGGGGCTGCTGTACCATGCGACTCATGATAATGATGGTGATAGCTTGCGTCTGTGTCGTTGAGTGTAGCTAACTTAAGTGCTAGTAGTTTGTACGATAAATTAAAGGCTAGCTTAGTCTCTTAGCAGACCGAAGACATCAGGTCTCTCAAGTAGGCGTCCATTGTCTTCGATAAGAGTTCAGTCTACGGCAAGTGAGTCACGGCAGCGAGTTCGGGTTAAGTCATGAATCTTCTGTTAAGCTTTCGGGATGGCTCCAGCTTAGTTTCTTTTTTTTAAGCTTCGCAAACTACATGTAGGTATTCAATATGGCTACATCACATGTGGCCTGAAAATCTTTCTTTCTCTTTTATGGCTTCATACACCGAGGCACGTAGGATTTAACTTCAAAAAAAAAAAAAAAAAAAAAAACCCTTTTTAGACCTGGGGAGGCAAGTCCTGTGCTTAGATAATGAACCAACCTCGCTTGGCAAATTGACACGTATGTAATATCTTCTGCCTGTCCAAGCCTCCAAGTGTGCTGTGTTCCAACTAGTCACCGCCATCGTTTTCCAAGTCGAATAACCCCAACCCAGGCCTCTGGGCCCTCAGATTCTGGTATGCTTTACCCGGAAGACTTTCATCCAGAGTATCAAAAGTACCCCATGGGAAGACACAGAACCCTGCTGCTGATAAAAGGCTCTTCTTCGATTCTTCCGTCTCCTGCCAAATTGCGGGAGGATAAGACTGATAAGGGCCGTCAATAAAGGCCTCGTGACAACTGTCTTCCTCTGACTGTAGACATTCATCCATGGTCTCGAGGTTTCTCACATTGCAGGGTACCACGCGTCTCCTACAGCCGTCCCCCCCCCCATGGCAAGAACGTGGGATATTTCGCGGGTGGGTTCCTCGTCGCTTCCACTACCCTCGTGACTGTCAAAGCCAAGCCTCTTTTCCATTTCCAGCCATGCAGAAACGGCGCGCTTGGGGTCATACCAGACTGTTTGGCCATCGAGGCGTGCTTGGATTGGTCGTGGGTCAGGCGTGAACAGCTCAAAGTCGGTTGCGTATGGAAATATAGGCATGGCTCGGTTAAGGCCAAGTATTGTATGGTTCCTAGTACCAGAATGAGGCCCAAACCCTAAACGGGAATCTTCATCTAGAAGATGAATGAACCATATTGATTGTAGATCTAAAATCCACTGTTTCAAAGTAGTAAAAGCCTCCTGAGAGCTGCTCTCAATAACAGGTAGGGCTCGTAAGAATGCCAGGGTTTTTGCGCATAAGCTATCGATAGCAATATGAAGCAGACCGATGCCACGGGGATCAGCTGTCTTCAAATGGCTGATGAAATTGAGGAAGACAAGAGGTGCAATGTTAAACTCTGCTATAAAAATGTGGTCGCTTTCGGGATTCACCCATAACGTCGAGCCTTTATGGATGCGGAAAGGCAGCTGAAATATTCATAACAAGCCTGCCTGGACTCGTGGCAAGTGCTCCAGACTGGATTGGTGCGTGGCTTTCGGTCTACTGAGACACTGTAGCCTGCTTCAACGCCATTAACTGATTTGAGGCGCACAGTGAGGAGTCGCCGCCCAGTACCCAGAGCCATTTTCCATATCGTGAGCCTCACTTCAACAGGGAGCTGGGGGAACAAGTGAAATGTAGCAGGTTCTGCAGAGGGCTCTGGATTTGAAAAGTGAACATGATTGAATGTGTGAAAGAGGGGCTGATACACACTCATGGCTGCGGGATTGACACAAAAACCGCAATGATGGACCAAGAAGCTGTATAAAAGAAGGCGATTTCAGCCGAGGCTTCAAAACAAATTGTAATCCGAGTTTCCGTATGGACATGGGGTATCTTTTCATAAATGCAGAGATACTGAGATGACGCGTTACCTAGGCATATACCTATGTATACATGGGTTGTTGGTCGTCGGTGATCGGACGTTGCCCTGCCGATGGTGAGCTCTGTTCGGTTTAGGGCTGACGTTTTGACATCACTGGAAAGCTCCAGTTTCAGCTTTTGAACGATCCCTACACTTTGATTCCCGGAGATCCCATAAGCTCTACACGAAGTACCGTGCCAAGTGGATGATACTGGAAATGGCACACCTAAGCACTCCCTTAGCATATACTTGATCTATTATCCTTTATAGCTAGCTATGAAATTACTAAAATAAATTAAAGGAAAGAATATCAAGGTCTAAGAATTAGTATTCTTTAATATCTGCTTAGAATAAGCCACTTATCGAGATAAGTAGATATTTATTTAGGTGGTTATTGCGTGGTTATTTGGGTCTTCCTTTGGGTGTGCTATTTCCAGTTTCGCCCACTTGCGTGCAACGGATCGAACGGCAGTGGGATAGTGGCTGTGCTGCCGCAATTTAGCAGCCATGGCCTGGTTGTCAAGGGCTCATCCTCTCCTCGCCGACGAATGAGCTGGCGCCGGCATTGGGCTAATTTAATCAAAGACCCGTCCGTCAGATCCTCCTAATAGTGTGGACATACAGCAATGCCGTGGAAGATCCTAGTATTCTGCCATTTCCTCATGCTCCGCCAAAATTCAAACATATATAACTTACTGCCGGTAGTCTTGTTTCGTTAGCCAGTGTTCTGACCATCTGCAACAGGTTTCGTCTCTCCTCTCAAGTCTCCTCACAGCTCCTTCAAGCAGAAAATATGTTGTTTAGCCTTGCTGTTCTGCTGCTGTTGCAGTTTACCAAAGTAAAATGCAGTGGAGATACGACTAGTGATCTTTCTCGAGTTGACCTACACTCCCATTTCATTACGCCCTCATACCGGGCAGCCTTGGTCAAGTACGGATATGGGCAACCTGATGGAATGCCATATATTCCTGTATGCAAAAAAATCTTACATGCCGCTCAATCTGTCTATGACAAAAGCATTAATGTTGTAAACACAGTCTTGGTCCGAGGAGTCACACTTGAGCATAATGAAAGACGCCAACATCTCCAAGTCGATTCTCAGCGTCTCGTCTCCAGGAACTCATCTTGTTCCCGGAAACGACGAGTTGGCGCGCAACATCACCCGAGAAGTCAACGAGTTTGCCGCCGACCTCAAGAAGCGCCTGCCTGAGCAATTTGGCTTCTGGGCCTCCCTGCCTCTTCCGGACATCGAGGGCAGTCTTGCCGAGCTGGCGTACGCTCTCGACGAGCTCAATGCAGACGGTGTCGTTGTCATGACCAACGCCCACGGAGTCTACCTCGGCAACGCGACCCTTGACCCCGTCTTCGCAGAGCTCAACAGGAGGAATGCGCGCGTCTTCATCCACCCTACCAGCCCTTGTATTGGAGACGGAAAGGCGACGCAGCCAGCATCGCCTCTAGCCCTGTACCCCGGCCCCGTCATCGAGTTCTTCTTCGACACGGCCCGCGCTGTCAGCAACCTCTTCCTCTCCGGGGCCATCCAGTCCCTGACGAGCACGACGTTTATCGTTTCCCACGCAGGCGGCGCCTTCACCCCTCTCATCGACCGGCTGGTCGAGTTCGCTCTGCTCGTCGGCAACCCCGACCTCACTGCAGAGAGTATCCGCGCGACAATCAAGAAGCAATTCTACTTTGATCTCGCCGGCACACCATTCCCTGACCAGATATATGGCCTACTTAGATACGTCGACGCGAGCCGTCTTGTTTACGGAAGCGACTACCCCTTCACACCAGACTCGAGTGTGACTGAGCTGGGCGAGGAGATGAACCTTGAGTTGCCACAGGTCTTTCCTAACGAAGAGGATCAAAAGAAGGTTCTGCGTGAAAATGCCGAGGCACTATTGAAGTAAACCCAAATATGCAGGCGTGGATTTGGGAGAGTTGGTGGTACTATAAATCATTCATCATGTACTCTTACTTGTTGTGGTTGTGGTATTGACGAGGTGTTGTCGGCACGCAATCGCAATTAGCTTAAGATGAATAAACAGCTTTCTCCAATGTCGAAATGTATGATCGTCTTGAGAAACTTATCGTGCTCAAAGTGGCATGATTAACAAAGAAAGCGTTCGGACGTGCCTCCACGTTTACACTTAAAACATATTAGCTTACAGTCACAGCTTGTAGACTTTAAAAATCTCAGACAATACAGCTACAAGGACAGTTCGCTTAATCCAGCCTTTCAATACAAAGCTTCTGAGAGTGGAAGAGATCATCAATGACGCCTAGGCCCGATTTCTTCGTTGTGTACTGTACTCCTCTATGTATTTATCTTTTTACGAGAAGCGACTTCGACTGCGGGAAAAGTATGACCTCATCATACTATCCAAAGCTCCTGGTCCTGCAGGCCAAGCTTCGCGCGGAGCTCTGAAGATTGCGTTGCCTCCATGTCCATGATACCATGCACATATGCAACGGCGACAATCTGAAATGTTTGACGGCTGCCGTGCTGCACGGGACGCAGGACGACAGGGAGCTTGGCGCCGTCTAGGCATGCAATGAAGTCCCCTTCTCTTGTTGGCGGTATGATCAGAATGAATAGACCGTTCGTTGTCGTGGAAAAGGACCATTCTGTGTACAGCCTGTACCACATGCGCTGGATTTCGGGGGCGGAGAAATATTCTCTATACAAATTCGACTTGTTCGTTCCTTCGTCTGTCACACCATCAAGGAATTGTAACCAACTTTCGCGGAGAGACATGTCTTGGTCACTTATTTGTTGAGCCGTCAGTCTAGCCATCGGCCACACCGCGCAGTCAACCGTCAGCGTACGCCAAAAGGCTGTGAAGGACGATTCGCCAGTCATGTACTGATCTGTTGATCCTTTGTCTAGAACTTGTTTATAGTTCAGATAAAGACGCATCCAGTCAAGAGGGATGTGCGTAGAAGTGTCATATCTCCAGCGAAGAGCAGAGCTATTACCATCATGAGGGTAGTCGTCCTGTAGTATCGGCCCAACCCGGCCCACGATGACTCCTTTGGCGACCAGGACATCCTCACCAACCCTTCGGCAGGGGACTTCGCAGCTTGGTCTCCCAGCATTGAAGATGGACCTTTGTGCAAAGAGCTCAATTTCCCCGTCCGCTAAGAAGTTGATCGCCCAAGAAGGTAGATTTCCCAAGGAGCCTTTTGCCGAGCGACGGTAATCTCGACTTGAGCTCCAGGGGCTCTGGCAGATGACATCCAGGTTGCCTGAATGGTTGATGAGAGAGGCCGTGACGTCGGCATACACCTGCCCCGGAAGCTTCTCATAGTCGACTTTGATGTCTTTGTGGTCAGTCACAAGGCCCAGCAGGCCGAATATCTTGTCGCGAGGGTCCAGGCAATCGGTGCGTCTGAACCGCGCCAGAACGTCGAGGAGCTTCGACTCGCCTTCCTGCCTCAAGATGCGTCTTTGATGATCGATGATCTGGACTTTCTCAAAGATCCAGTACGAAATCTGGTCGACGGTGCCGTGAGAAAACGTGCCGTGGAAGGCATCGGCGTATGGCGTGTCGCCCAAGAAATTGGAGACAACGTCCCAGTCGAGCGTGTGGCGGCCAGCAACAAGCTGTACTTTGGGAGCAATAGAGAGCTCCTGCATAACCCACAATCGCTTCAGCACATCCGGTCGGCCGAAGGCGCTTTCCAACGCCCACTGCTCATTTGAAGATAGCATGCAATCCTGGATGCCACTGCCCGTTCCAGTTCCCGTGTCTTCCGTCTCCTCCCCCCCTAAAGCTTCCTCTCCTGCGAGTTGATTGTCTAGATCGTTATCAGTAGACTGGTAAGATGCACGCCACTTCTCTTCCAGCTGTTTATGGTCCTTCCACTCCTTCATCATTGGGTTCAGCACCGTCATATCCCGGCCGACGAGGCGTCGCATCAACTCGAAGCCTTGGCCCATGATTTCCTCTGAGGGCGTCCAAGACTGCGTCTCAGGTTCAGAAAGAGGTCCGAGCCATAACAGGTCACAGACACAGCAGGAGTAAATCTCTTTCATGAGCGATACCTGTTGGGCACGCTCACGGAGGGATTCTTGATTAATGCACAGGGCATCGATCCAGAGGACACGTTGTCTATCCTGGTGCCGCAGACCTCGAAGAGCTACTGCAAGGTTTGGGGTTACGAGGACGGTGTGTCCCCCGATGGTGACGGGTTCGGAATAGACTGGCTTCCCCCATTTGTAGGACAAGGCCTCGTACGCTGGGGCTGAGCCGAGGGGGACGGTTTGGAGATGGCCTACGATTGCCTCCTCGTCCGTCTGTGCGGGCTCCAGGGCGAAAAGCCGTATCTCGGGGATTGAGGAGTCCAAGGGACGGTACAGACCCGGTGCGCCTGTGGCCACGGTACTCAATGTCCTGACTTTGCCCGTCATGGCTCGCTTTGGTTGTTGATGACGGTGATGTCGGTGATAAGTGTAAGGGAAGTGGGCTGAGGTTAAAGCCGCTCTTGTGTGAGTGTGCAGCAACCTCCACCAACCACCTGCACTGGGTCGCAAGAAGGATATCAATCGCATTGGGGTAAGGGATAGCTCTTCTTTATCCACGCATCTTAACTAAGAAGCCGACGGTTATTGTTTATTGTTCTGAAAATCCAAAGGCAACCAAGCTAAAGGCAATTGACCCCTGTCTCGTACAGTATGACTCAGAATCTGCAATGTCAACAATCAGCCACCATACACAGCCTCATCTCCCTTATATATATAATCTAACTTACCTAACAACTCAGTGCCGTTGGATCTTTTCATCTGTTCTTCCTCATTTTGTACATTGTATTTTATTTGCATGATATACTGTCTTGCAATAGCTATGGCTTAGAGAGTGGCCACAATCCGCGTCGACTAGGCATAAAGGGGAACGGACAGTCTTAGAGCCCTCAGACAGCTTCCTCCCTACATTAATCTCCTTCTATATCGATATGCGCTTGTAGAAGGCCGGTGATGGAAGAAGAAACAGTCTAGGGCATGTCATAATAAGTCTAAAAGCACCAAAGATCTCGGGATGCCGTTGTTCATGCGGACAGAAATCACAGTCTCAAACGAAGGTCTAAGAATTGTAGACCTATCCGCTCAATATAAGTAAATTACAGATAAAGAGGAGAGCTATGGCATCTCATGAGTCTCAGTCTCCGTCTGGCCTTCTTTCTTCCAGTCCTTGGGCCATCTGCAGGTTTTCATCTTGTAGTATCAGTTTATGAAAATGAAGATGAAGATAAAGATGTGAACAAAGGATATTGAGATTCCAAATACGGTGTAGTACTTGGGTGCACCGCGGGCCTGATAGAGAACTGGTACAGTAATATTTTGAGCTGAGGGAAAAGAGGAAGCTGTGCCTCAGCACTTCGATATTAGCTGCTAAAGCATCCTTAACCTAGCAGATGAACGAAATCTTCTATCCAGTAGTAGTATCCACAGTAATGCTATTGGAGACGTTAAGGTTTCTCGTAAGACCTTATATTGTCAATTATTTGTTTATGGGTGGAAAGGAAGGAAGGTGGTAACATTGAGCACAGAGTCACGATATCTAGAATCTTTACGAACAAGGATTAGCTTCAGGTTGTTGAAGGATTTATTTAATGCTTGGCTGATAAGAAATTACTGAATGCCGGGCATGATAGCGGTATCTGCCGGGACATTTTAAATTACGCGACCTGGTCTGACAGCTAACTACCTAGGATTAGAAGTAAGCGATGAGCCACGTGCTAGCTTTAGCTCATGAGATATGCCAACATTGAATCATCGAACAATTTAATAAAATGTGTTGAATTTCCATCCTCTCTGAAATAGTAGAGAAACCATTTGCCATCATGAGAAACACTGAAGCGCATCTTTGTCTAATGAGAACTAGTCTGTTTAGATGGGAACGCCTTTCAGTTGTGGTAACCTGGTTCAGAAGCGTGAGCTAAATTTAGCAAAATGCAAATTGCCTCGTTTGAAAACCACGCGCTGCCGGTAGATGGTCCTGGTAACTAGGCATTTGTCGCAGGGTGGAAGATGAAGGCTCAACACATGACTCAAAGTCAGAGGGGAAAATAAGCACACGATGTCAACCTGCCCATTAGAGCCATTCCGGCCCACCCCAATCCGTCCCTTCTTACAGGTCGCGGGACTGGGTAAGCGGGATTCTTTTCTCAAATGGGAGATATTCACTTGAGTGTCACACTTCAGATCCCAAGTCGGCAGTTGCCCAGACGTAATCATCCCACGAGCTCGCTCTACTCCGTTTATCATGGGGTTGCATAGCATATTAAAATTATGAAATCCTTTTTTGTCTTAGTTATTGATACTCTAAGTTGTTATTCTAACAAATATAAATATCACAGTATTACCATTGATTTCCGTTACATGAGGGTTTAGGTGAAGTAATATTCAACCAGTCTCACTTCCGGCCCTCTGTTGGCTTTCTTCACCATGGCTCTTTCCAGTCTTTTTATGTGTGTTTCGCTTCTCACAGCGGTCTTTGCCCCATTAGCCGTTGCCACTCCTCTCGCATCGTTACAGGAGCGGGATGTATCTCGCAACGGCGAGCCAGGCCTGTTAGGCGCGGGTGAAACTTACTACCCTCGAGTCACCAAGCTCAAGGATGGATCGCTTCTCAGCTGCCGTACATCAATGGAAGGCAGCAATTCGGTACTCCGGACTGCCAGATCCACCAACGGTGGTTGGGACTGGACCGACGTGGGATCCATAGCTTCCGGCCCTCGTGCAACCGGGGATCTGGACAACTGCTTCCTCCATCAACTCCCCAGTGGCCGTATTCTGGCGGCATTCCGCAACCACGATAAAACCAACTCACAATGGACCTACTATCGACTTATCGTCTCCTACTCTGACAACAACGGAAACGACTGGACCTTCCTGTCCATGCCGAGGGAGAGCGGCACCAGGGGGCTCGGGATCTGGGAACCCTTCATGATGGATGCCCAGGACGGGTCTCTCATGTTTTACTATTCCCGCGAAACAAACACCGCCGGCACCGACCAAGACAGCATTCTCATCCGAAGTTACGATGGCGGCAAGACCTGGACTGGTGATCAGACAATCTCGGGTGGTGGGATCACCAGTCGTGATGGCATGCTCGGTGTTGTTCGGACCGGAGGCTCGAACCTCATTGCAGTCTTTGAAACCATGGCCCCCGACATCGGCATTCACTCCGTTACATCTTCAGACGACGGAGCGACCTGGGGTAACCGCCGGCTTGTGTATAAGAGCAGTGTCGGCGGCGCTACACATGGCGCCCCCCAAGTGGCACTCGTGGGCTCCAAACTGGTGACCAGCTTTCAGACGAATGAAGATAACGTCGGGGCTTCGAGCTTCTCCATCAAGGTTGTCACTAGCACGAACGGAGGTGCCAGCTGGGGAGAGAAGACGACGGTATTGGACTCCTGCGAGTGGGCGGGCATGGCGACGGTAGACAACGGCCACGTGGTTGTGGTGTGCTCGTTGAATGTGCAGCCCGTCAGTAGCAGATATTCCCTCTCTCAGATCATGAATGTTTCTTGATCTTCATGTTGTATTCATTGTATATCCCTTCAATTAAAACCGTTGACTATCAAAAAGCTCCCATTGGTCGCTTCTCTCCCCCATTAAGGTCTTTGGTTGGTTAGTTCTTTCATGCAGCATTACGACATAACCCTAAGTAAAGCGAGCTAAATATGGAGACCCATTTCCAGCACATTCTGAGCAACATTATTGTGAAAAATCAAACCAGCAGATGGATGAATCACGAGGCTTCCTCCACAAGGTGCTCGGGAAAGAGTGAGACCCCGATCACCCGAAGACTCTTGCAGAGGTTCTCGCCTGTTTCCTATGCCTGCAAACATGCGATTTGTGGTCTGGTGTTTTCTGGCTTTTTTGCCGTTGCGTTTGTTGGGGGTGCGGGGTGGACTCATCGCGGTCTTTTTTTTCTGCCCAGATCGAAAAACAGAAAGAGGGGGAGAGGGGCAACTCTGCAGGCGTTCCCACTACCAACCCACCGAGTTGGGATCGATCTCCTGATGATCAGAACCCGTGATGGGTTTAGGAGGACATGTGAGTGAGATGTTTATTGTGCACAACAAAGCTAACGGGGAAACCACGCAATCAGATACTACTGGAAGCGAATAATTCTACTGGAAATTGTGTGCGTTGAAACCAAGTAGCAGTGCATAGGGTAGGTCGTGACTGCATGCTTTAAATTATCCAAGGCAGGTACGCATAAGACCAGCCACCAGCCACTGCTTCCTGCCTTATGCTACGACGTGGCAGGCGCGAGTGCCTGAAAACTGCCAGCTGAGCATCGGAGGACAGAAGTAGCCTAGCGCGATCGGGGTACGTACCGCTCCCAGCCATCGCATTTTGGGCTACGGACGGAAAGCTCATCGGTACGAACCGCGCCGCTAGCAACGCCCGTACCAGGAACACGCATGAGAGCCCTGAGGCCTGGTTCCGGCAAGGCATAGATGCGATCGAAACACGTGTTGGATTCGGTGGAACTAAAATGACGTCTTTATAAATAGGGGCCCGAATCGCTGCATAAAACAAAAGGGGACAAGGCAGTTTTACTGGCATTCGCAAAATCCATCTGTGGTATCTTCTACTGCAGGCACTATCGTTGATCTGTCAGGTTCGCCCTTGCCCTTGGCCGCTGCCCCACTGCGCTACAGCGATCCACCGGCGCGCGTTTGCCTCGGTCATTTATTCTGCCCCGAGTTTATTTCGCCCTTGGACCGCATGGGGCAGTCTAAATTTGAGTCTCACTTTGCTGTCAAAGAGTGCGTTGTTTTGTTCCTGCCTGCCTCTGTCGGGTTGTGAAAACTCTGCTTTGCTGCGGCACAGACGTGATGTAGATGCTAACGTTCCATCAGGAGAACTCAGCCTGCAGAACGTGACCACCCTCTGTAGATTCATAGAATGGACCAGACCAGACCAGACCATACAACTGGAATCCAATGCCCAGTAACCGATTCTTTATCGAAGCACCCCCTGCAAGGCGGTGAAGTCGCGACGCCCACACAGAATGCCGCATTCGACTAGCCTGATACACAGTCTGCTCTCACCGACTTCTCGGACGCTCGCGGGGCCTTGCTGCTTGGCCAGATGACCGGGGATGGATTGGCCCATCGCGGGTCACATGTGAGGGTCGGTTTTGCAGGCCCTTCCTTGTGTCCTCGCCGCCAGGAATCGAGGCTGGATGTGACACTCCGGCATGACACTGGTGAGCCAATGAGACGGCTCGTGGGCTGCCCTTGCTCCCCAACGGATTCCACCAGGAGGTTGACCGCCGATTCACATCCCTCTGCATCGTATCATTCTCGGATTAGCCCCTCAATGTTCCACGGCGCTGCAGGAACCCTGCAAACCTGCTGCAGGTGAGGATGCGAGATATACATTCCCGG